AGAGGGGCCACCGAGAGAGGACAGGGCAGGAGGGAGACGAGGGGGCAGGGGGGCAATAGTGGCAGTTAGAACCTCACATTCAAGCATCTGGGGGGGGGGGCGAATCGGGGGCCTGAGGATGGGGGCAAAACCAACGCGCTTTGGCAGGGCCCCGAAATCGTTTGGACGTCGCCCACGCGTTGCATGTGGCACGGAGGACGGGTGACAACATGCGCGGCGGAACCTTATCCGCGATCGCGTTGAAAGCTCTACATAGGAGGTCTCGTTGGGGCAATGATCGGACGCCAATGGCGAGCGCGCGCCTGGGTCGTGGGCCAGGGCGAGTCTCCGGCGAGCTCGAGCAGCCCGTGTTCAGTTTTCTGGTAAAAAAACGATTTCAGGCATGCGGGGAGTGCGGCTAAGAGCAACATATTTCTCACAGAGGGTCTTGAAACTAGAGTTCAAATATAAAGGCCCACTCCCCCAAGCAACAACGCACTCGTCCGACAAACTGAACAGATCAAATAGTTCACTCATCCCGTGAAACACTTTCGAGTGGGAGGCGGGCCGAAACATGGGGGGCCCGAGCCACGGAGTGCAGATTGCGAGCCCGGGCGGGAAACTCGACAGATTTGAGGCAGCACAAGAGAGACTTACTACGCGCATTCCGCGGGCCCTCAGAAAGCATTTGCAGAGCGCGACCTTCAGTGTGCAGGGGCCCGGCGTCGGGGAGGTGGAACTGGGCAATGCGCGAGAGGGCGCTGACGTCGAACGCATTATACCAACCACTACTTTTTGTGAGGCCAAGGTGCAAGGACTTTAGCGCGGGCGACTCGGTCGATATAGTAGCGACAGGGAGCTTGCCACGATTCATGCCAACCGTTGAGGCCGATCCAGAGCCCTAGGTACTTACAAGCGAGGATAAAGTGTCAACCTCGAATCCCCAGCGTTCGCAGACGGGCGAGGACGACAGAGCGGGCGGGCAGCTGGGGCATCGCGATCTGAATGCCTTCGAGCTTAAGAACAAGGCCAGCTGCGCCAGCTGCAGCGCACCAAATTGGGAACGCGACGGCTAGGGCAGTGTAGATACAGCCGCCAGCAATGCCCACATCATCTGCAAACGCTCCAATATAGGAATGATCAGGAGGGAGACGGCGCAGCATCACGCGCAGGACGGGGTCGAGGCAGAGAGCGAAGAGGGAGCCAGAGAGAGGGCAACCTTGTTTGATGCCCCTTGTGACCCAGAAGCCATAGGACGTGACCCCATTGTAGGAAACACTGACCCATGCCGACGAATACAGGAGCTGGATGGCGGACCGAAGCCCCTGGGGAATACCAATAGTCGCTAGTATCCAATGTATCAATTCACGCACTAGGCTGGGGAAAGGCAGCTCCCACGTCGCACGAGACGCATCCAGAGTCGGGCAAGCACTGCTGGCAGAGGTAGTGGCACATGCTAGCTTCTAGACCAATCATGTTTCCAAACAAAGAACGCCCTCGGACAAAACCAGTCTGGCTCGAACAGAAAACCACTTGACAAACGTGCCCCAGGACACGATCGAGAGCGATGCAGCAAAGCTTGCTGCAGGAATCAGATAGTGTGATTGGTCTAGTTTTGTCAGCTCCGCGGTGCGCCTCTAAGACGTCTGGCGGCACCCAGTCCTCGACCAGAAAGACTGCATAAGCATGGTTGAAGCCTTCGCCGACGCAGGGGCTGGCGAGCAGGGCCGCGTGGGAACGGCGAGAAGAGTCCAGCTTCGCCTGACCTTATCCACTGAGAGTAGACGAGCCCGTCTGGGCCTGGGGAAGAGTCCCTGAATTTCGCGAACATGTATATATATATATATATATATATATATGTATATATGTATATAAACAAAAAACTCATCAGTACAAAATTTCCTGTCAGGGACGGGCGGAGCTTGCTGCGCGAACGGACGAAGCCCTTCGAATTGCCCGGGCAAGCGCCTGTGGCCGTGATGAATAGGGCCACAAGGCTCAACTAATCACCCAGCTACCTCCTCGGGGTCGGAATGCTCAGAACCCCGGGGGTCCGCGACGCCGGCAAGTCGGATGCGCCTGCGCCCAGGGGCCCAAGCAGAGCAATATTGATATAGTTGGCGCTGTCGGCCGAGGCGCTTGGCTGGAGGGGTGTCCTCGTCACGTTCAAGCTCGCGAAGTTCACGCTGTAGGTGGGGGGTCTGCAGGGGGCCGACGTGCCTATAAAACCCTTCGCGATCATTCCAGATCAGATTCGAGAGGTCCAGGAACTGCTAAAGAAAAGGGCAAGCCCGAATAGCCCTGGAAGCCAGATGACCATTGCTCGCGCGGACAGCGCGCGTGAGAGCGTAGCACCGAGAGATCTTCTCGGGGTCAGAATGGGGACCTCTAGCTTCGAGTCTGTTCAGGAGGGACTTGGATGCATGCCGAAGAATGTCTTTAGCTTCCACGCGACGGACCCAGGGGTCATCGCTCAGGACGCCAGCCTCCAGGAAAGCACTATCACAATATGCGGGGAACTCGGGGTGCTTCGAAATCCAGCGCGGAGGCAGGCGTGCATAATCATTGGAGATCGCCTTCGCAGCCAGAGAGACGCGCATCGGAATATGATCAGACAGCCTGGCACGGTCCATGATGTTGCCGATCGTCATGGTGGCGGGCCGCGCGCCTAGCAGCTCGGCCGCGCACATGCTGCACAAGATACGGCCGAAACGCGAGACAGAGATGATCTCATCGCCTCAGACGACGCGATGCGTTGGCATCGCGTCGTCTGCGACGATGCGATCATAATCTCGGCATAGGTTGAAAATAGCACCGCCGCATGCCTTGCGACATCTGGCCGAACAGGAACAAGTCGACCTGAAACATGTTGAGACCCTTCCCCCATCGCAGCATCGGTTCCAATCACCGGCCGAGAAGCTGGCAACGCGAGAACCAATGTACATCGCCCGGGAGACCGAGCCCAGGAATATTCTCTGAGCAGGGACGGGGATGGTGGGCGCGCTGTGAATGTTCATGACCTGATGCGTCTGAGGGATGTCCTGTCTACTCTCTCTTGCTGGGCCGCCTGAAAGAACAACGCGATGGGCGCGCCCTCGTCGGGCCACCCTGCGACGAATATGCGAGGACTCAGCGCGGACATATTCGCCGATAAGAACGATGCAGCCGCATGCATCGCGCTCGTGGAAAATGTGTCAGCGCCGCGCACGCCGTGCATTTCGTGGAGGAGGGGGTCGAGTTCCCTTCGGGGGCCATTGGTTTCTTGGAGACAAGCCGCATGCTGACGGGAAGTAAGCCGTTTTACGAAGTCGATTTTCTTATTGCAAAACGGCGTGATTTCATAACATAGATTTGAACATCTGGTGAATATTCCATGACACAATAGAACACTTCCCCGAGAGCTCGGAATGGGCGAAACCCGCGGGGTCGGGGCAATCCCCGGCGTCGGGGAAACCCTCGGGGTCCGACTACGAACTGGGAGAAGCGCTGGAGGAAGAAGCAGAGGAAGAAGAGGAGCAGCAACTGTAAAAAGAAGCAGGCGACGATGGGCGCCCCATCGCGCTTATGCCTGCACACCCCTGGAGACTTGTTGAGACATTCAGGGCCCCTCTCGGAGGCATCCCTCGCTTTTGCCTGCGAGGGTGGATTCGACCCCTATGGCAGAGACGCCGCGGCGACCATGTCGGCCGCGCTGCGATCGATGCCGAACTGGGCGAGGCCGTCGCACCTCATCTTGAACGCGTAGGAGTCGTCTCCGCGCTCGATGAGGGTTGCCAAGACTTCGACATCATCAGCGCCGAAAAGCAGGAACAAGAGGCCGCGCGGGCCGTTGCAGCCGAGGTGGAGCTCAGCCTTCCAGATCCCCTGCTCCTTCATGTGCGTGAGGAAGGACTGCCACAGACGGCCGAGGAGCTTGCGGCGGCTCCTGATATCCTGGCTGGTGTCGAGCCTGCAGCGGAGCTGGACGAGATGCTGAGTGCGAGGGTCTTGCCACGAGATGCCACCATTCTTCAGAGAGTCGAGCACAGCGCTGGCGATGTCGGAGGAAGTGAGGCGAATCGAGTAGCTCATCTGCATGTCTCTGGCCGTCACTTCAGCGCCTTGGCTCTGGTGTGCAGGGAGTGCCTAGAGAACCGAATCAGCGTGGACCTGGAGCACACGAGCAACAACTCGGCGAGGAAAGCCAATGACCTATATGTTGCATGTGTTAGCATCATCACTTGAGGGAAGAGGGCTGGGCACTCCACCAACTGCGCGACGCTTGTGACCACCGGTGCCAACTGAGGCAGGGCTGCTTAAACTTGAAAGCGTGCTGCGAGAAGAGCGTGAGATGGTAGATGCAGCAGACCCGCATGCCGCGAGCCTACTCTCGAGCTTGGCGGGGATGGATGCTTCGACAGCAGCGGTGATATTCTCGCACGTGCCGTTCTGGCTGTTGAAGACCTGGGTACCTAAGGTCTTGAACTTCGCGTCGTGGGCGGCGACCTGGTCTCTGAGGTTGTCGGTGTCCTGCTTAATGGCGACGTTCGCAAGCGTGGCGTGCATGTCCTGAAGTATTGCCATGATGTCGCCCGAGGAGCTGCCAGGCTGCGATGGAGCAGGAGTCGGTGGGGCAGGCGAGGCTGGTGAAAAGTTGATGGTCGGCACTACTTCCTCCTTCGCATCGGCAAACTCGTCGTTGATGTCAGAGACGGCGTCGACGTCCTCGTCGTCGGCCATGCCGCAGGGAACCTGTGGCGGGCTCGGAGTGGCGTGGGACACGAAAGTGCTTCTGGATGGACGCCGAAACGTGTGCCCCCTGAGGGCCTCAGATCGCTCGAAAGAGGCCTACGGAAGGGCCGAAAGCTAATCGCTGGTTCTCGGGCGTCTATAGCCCTTCACAACGTTTAGCCGTGAGCCAACATGGCTACGGAACGGAAGTGGGGAGGAGGAGGAAGAGGAGGAAGGGAAGGGAAGGGCAGGAGGGGAGTTGATGATCAGGAGGGAGAAGAATAGTGGTGAGGTGTGAGGAGGGTGATGAAGGAGAGGGAGGAAAGAGGGGATGCGGGGAAAATAATGGGGAGATCGGCAGGATGCTTTTACACCAACAACGACATTGCCAACCCCATCCGCGAGCACTGCATGCCACTACTGCAATGCTGCGCCGCAGCGTGAGACGGAGGATCGCCTGGGGGCCATCGAGGAACCGTATAGCGTGAAACGGAGGAGCGTCTGGGAATTTGGGGAGACGGAGCGGTTAGAGGACGATCAGTGGGTGACGGATGCTGAAGTTTCTGGGGGTCTGTATGGGATGTTTGGACGATCTTCGTAGAAGTGAGGGTGATGAAGGGGAGGAAAATGAGGGGGAGGGTTTCAGCATGTTTGAGCATCCCCCCAGGGCTTCTTGGGAATTCCATGTGTGGGCGGGACAGGGAGGAAGGAGGGGAAAGAGGAGGGTAGGGAGGAGTTAGGAAGCGAAAGGGGGAGGAGGGAGGATTGGGAAGAAGAGCGGGAACAGGAGGACGAGGGGGAGGTACAGAAGGAGAAGGAGGTGGCAGAGGAGGGGGCTGAGTGTGGTGCGCGGTCAGATCTCGTCGTCTCCGATGTTCCCCAGCACAGGCGCAGCGCCCCCCTTCCCAAGCCAATCGCCCCACGAGGGTGCTGACGATGGCTTGGGCGGGGCATTGTCCATCAGGCGCCGAGCCCCCGCCTTAGCGTCCAGCCGATCACCGGGAGGCTCTGGTAAGACTTTCCCCCGAGCTATGTGGCAGACAATATGAATGAGGGCAGCCCAAAAGGAGGCTGAATCGCACCACATCGCCGTCGGGGCGTAGAGCACCTGGCACCAATGAACCTCGATCCTCGAACCTCGAAGCCTGCTCCAGAGAATGAAGGCAGAGAGGGGCAGTTTGGGTCAGGCCAACCTCTGCCAGCAGCGGAATCATATTTTCGTGATCTCCTACCAGTCCGATCGATCCCGCTCCTCATCCTCCTCCTATAGACCATGCCCAGATGCCCTCTTCATACTGAGCCTCGATGGCCACTGGGCCTCACCTCCTCATCGCCTCTCTGTCGGGTCGCCCAAGAGGTGCGTCAACACGTGGCCAAACTTACGCGTATCTAGCGCCTGCGGAGCCGATCCCCGAAGATCCCCGAAGGCGGCGGAGATGGATACACTCGGTCACCAGTGAGGAGGGGGGGGGGAGGTATCCACATCCACCACTTTCTGGGGTCCTCGGATTAACGTTCCTCCGGCGATGGATAGGAATATATCCAAGATTCGGAGACAAGGACGTAATGGCAGGCTTCCGCGCCAGAGCGTGGGGCTTGCCTTCAAGTCATGCGCAGGGTCTTCGTCCCGCTGCTCCTCTTCAGAAAAATCCGCCCTTGGGAACGCTTTGGTCTAGGACCAAGGCCTCAATTATGCGGCCAAGCGGTTCGCCTTGATCCTCCTTTTCCTCCCGGAGACCAGCTGAACCAGAAGGTGGGCCTGGGCCGCCTCCTCTCTTCCTCCCCTGTTCCTCCTCCTCCGCCTCCTCTTCTCCTTTTCCTCCCAGGGGTAAGGCCGAGACAGACGGGGGGCATTTTTTGTTGTTCTCTCTCTCTCTCTCTATCTCCCTCCCTCTTTCTCTCTCTTCAGCGTTTTCTTTTGTTTGTCGGGCAACAAACTGTTATTGATTATTTGTATGTATCTCTCCCTCTCGCTGTTTTTGTTCCTCTCGCTCTCTCTCCTTCTCTCTTTCTCTCTCTTTCTCTTTCTCCCGCTCCCTCTCCCCCCTCTCTCTCACTCATTCTCTCTCTCTCTCTATCGCTATTGCCGGCTCGAGGGTTTCTGACCCAGTGCGCAGCCGCGACGCGAATCCGCCAGCGCAGAAATCAGTTTTCTCCGCGCGTGGCGAGACTGGACACACCGTAACCCATGGTGTGACTGATTCGCGTCTTCTCCATATTTCCGACCGCGCCGTGTGCTTCATGTACCACTCTAGCCCAAGCCACCAGGCAAGGGCCGATAAGCCTCATGTCCACATAACCTTCTTATGTGCCAGGAAGCCTGTACGGCTGCTCTCCAAAGCAGAGGCGGCGCAGACCGGGCTGCTGCAGCCGACGACGAACTTGTCCAACAGCACCCAGCCGACCTCGAATCCGCTTACCAGCAACACCGCTCCAACCAGCCTCGGCTCAGGAGCCAGCTGATGACACTTTGCAAGCAATTCAAGATCAACTACACCAACCTGCATGTTGCCAACACGTACAATACGGGCACCAACCGTGACCCACCAAAATTCACCGCCTCAACCGTTATCCACCAGGATAACGGCACAGCCCCTACTGCACAAAACTGGGGCGTCCCGATCGCGCCTACGCTCAATATACCAATCACGGGATCTCAAACACCGGTCGCATCCCACAAAAGCCCGCCGAGCGCCAAGAGCCACCATGCTACGACGAAGACTCGGACGAAGAAAGGTGATCCAGACCAAGCATCCAGAGGATCCCCAATCAAACCGACGCCAGGTTCCGCAGCGTCGAAGCGGAGCAGCAGAGGCTCGCGGACAGGGTAATGTGCCTTGAAACCACGGTGACCAGCTTGACCACCAGCCAGGCTACTGGTCAAGCAGTGCCACCAGCTCGAAAGAAGGATCGCCTCATCCAGGCAGAGCAAACCAGCCTGAACGCAGACCTGAGGGTCACGACAAAAACGCAAGCTGACGACTTAGACGACAATTTGACCCCTACGACGAGGCGGACGCATGCCACTGCGACGTATGCGACCCTACGACGAATGAGACCCCAACGTGCCAAGAAGTAGTTACTGTGGGGGCCTCGTCGTATGGCATCGGGAATGGGCCTGGGCCCATGAAGGTCAACGCAAGGCCCACTAGGGCCGACGCGGTGCCCGACATCATTGGCCTCGTCCTGCCACCTGTGCCTCTTCTCATTCAGGAAGGCACCGAAGCAACAGTCACCAACCAAATACAGAATCCCATTCACGGCCAACACGGCACCGTCAATCGCCGCATGGGAGATCAGAATCAGTACTGAATGGACCTCCTGATGAATAGCAAAACTTGCTGTACGGGCGATTGCCAACAGAGCTTGCAAGTTTCAGAGCAGGAGCTTTGCAGGAGCTGCCGAGACGCTGCGAAGGAAGCTTCGCAAAATTGTTAGGCACGCGTATTGGAAAAAAGACTCGGAAAACGCTTCCGAGGCACGCTGCAATCCCAAAGAAGTCGCTGCGGGGATGCCTGAATGGCAGCCGTGGAAAGGAATCCGGCCTACCCTGCGCTGTCGGCTTCTTCTCCAACAACCCTTCGAGCTGACAAAGAGGGACCCAAGAGAAAACTGCGCGGTAGAGCCGAGCGTGGGCTTGCGCGAACGGGGGTTCACTCGCCTCTTGACGCATTCGATGAGGACGTAATGGCAATGCAGCGGGCCCCCAAGGTTCGCGACTTCCTCGGGTTCTGGAACAGGAATGACTGGCAGCTCACGTCCGAGCTGGAGGTCGACAGGGCGCTCGCCGACTATATGGACATCAAGTGCTACAGGCAGCGCAAGCGGGCTACCTGGGGGTCGGTCGTCCTGTTCGGGTTGTTGGTGATCTGGCCGCAGCCTCGCAACACGCTGCCCCTCGCGATCAGGAGCCTGAAAAGTTGGCAGAAGCTGGCGGGCACCAAGGAGGCAGGGCCGCTACCCGAGGAGGCCATCCTCGCCATCGATCTGCATGATGGAGACAGGCCGCCACGCGGAGGTGGTCTGGACGCTGACCCAGTACGAGGTCACGACAGGCACGAACAAGGGAGCTGTGGTGCGCCGCGGGGGGATTGCCAATCTGGTCCTGGGCCTTCGCAACTTCAGGTCGACCCAAAATGATAAGCTGTTCGGCAACCACCAGGTGCAATTCAGGAAGCTCTGGCAACAAGCGTGCCGTGCGCTCGGCATGCCGTGGGCTCCCCCGCCACATGGAATCCGTCACTCGGGCCACAACGAGGACGTAGACCGTGACCAGTCGACGCTCGAGCAGGTGAGGCGCCACGGGCGCTGGAAGGCCTTGTCTAGCGTGCAGGGTTACTCAAAGACCTTCGCTCTCACGAAGTTCAGGGCGAAGATGCCAGACAAGGTCCTCAAGGCGGCCACGGCGGCGACGCTCGACCAGAAGGCCGAGGTGCTACGAGCTCTTCGCCCAAGGCCTAGGAACTGGCGGTGCAACGTGGGCCCGCTCGTGATGTCGCGGCCGAGCTGATGACATTGAAAACCACAGAGGATCGCCGTGGCAAGGGGAACGATGATTCAGGAGACGACGATAGCAGTGGTGGCCTTTTTCTCGGACGAGACCTTTGGAGTGGATACTGGTTAGTGGGCCGAATGAAGTGGATGCCACTCAGGCGCAGGCCCTGGCAGCTCCTGGCAAATGGCCCCAGCGGCCCGCTTCGAGGCTCGGAATTTCCTTGCGTACTCTCATGGGTCCCCAATTGGGCCCACGTGTTGGAGATGGCCCGTGAGGGGGGGGGGGTATGCAAGCAATTGATTTGCTTTTTCGGGGCTCGTGCCGTTGTCTTGGCGGACGTGGTGAAACGAATTGTCGACACTTGTACTTTTTCTCGGCGTTGCCCGCCAGAAAGTGCGGGTATGGGAAGATGATCGTGAAGCCTCCCACTCAGAATGTGCCTGAAGAGTGGCTCAGTTGCTGGGAGCTTCACGTTCGTGATAGCGGTATGCCTGTCTTCACACGTCTTTGATTATATCTGGCCGTCTCGGGCCCTCTCCGCGCAGATGGAGAAAAATGAGCACGTGCCTCATCATTGCCTGGGCTTGCTTTGCGCTCGTTTGGTTTGTTTTACATCTTTCGCGGCCCCCCCATCTCCTAGAGCAGTTCAGATAACTGATATTCCGCCTCGGACTCGGGCGGAAGGCAAATCGGCCAGTAGCGACGAATCACCGAATCCAGCCACAGCGACAAGGACGCAGCCTGCCCAGAATCTCCTCCTCCAGGAACCAATTTCAGGAATGAAGAGTAGGAGGAAGAAGGAAGCAGGAGGAATAGGAAGGGATGAAGGAGAAGGGGAAGGAGAGGGCAGGATGGGGACAGAAGGGAGGGAAGGAGAGGGCAGAAGAAGGAGGGGGCAAGATGATGAGACCAGCGTGCATAGGGGGGCAGGGTGAGGAGGATCTGAAGGAGAGCAGCAGGGAGGATGAGCTGGAAGAGAAGGAGAATCAAGGAGGCGGATCTATATGAATGTTCGATTCCTAGCGTGTGGGTTGAAATCAGAACGAAAACGAGCTCCGCGCGCGTCACCGCGGCCGATCGTGCGAACGGGACGGGGCGGCGGCGCGCCAGGGTCTGCGGCCGGTGTTCCCGCCGTACTCCTCCGTCGTCCTTCGTCCTCCCCCCCCCGTCCATCAACTCCTTCTCGTCTTTCTCATGATTGTCCTCCCCGCTCCTCTTCATCCTCTTCCTCGTCCTCGTCCTCCCGATTCCTCCTCCCCCTTCCACCCTCCACCCCCTTGTCCCTCCTCCTCCTCCTGCCCCCTCCTCCTCTTCATATCCCCTGCTCTCCACTCCTTCCTTCATGCCATTTTGGTACAACTGCCCCTTGCCAAAAACCCCAGGACGCCGCCGCCGCGCCTCACTATCATCATCGGCATTCCTTCCGTCTCCCCCTTCCTCCATCCAGCTCCCCATCACTGCTTCCATCCTTCTCTTCATCCGTC